TATAAAATGTTTTTTAGTTCTTTAATCCTAACACTATTAACAAAAAATATTGACATTAAAATTTTAGATGTTGAACGCCTCATCATCCGCGGGTTCAACAGTTGAAGGATCAGACAAGCTCATCAAAGAACGTTAGTTTGATTCTTAAGATCGTCACAGTGCTGGATAAGTCATCCCATCTCATATCCAAGTAAAGCACTTAATTTGAAGCTAATTCTAATGTGATTAATGCTTTGGGAACACCACATTGAGGTTATCCAAAAAGGTAGTGTGTGACTAACAGAAGACTAAATTGTGTGTAACTGGCGAGTAGGCTTCTCTACAATTTTGTTATTGATAAATCATTCTTAAATACTGATATGCTAAATTTTAATTTTAAAAATAACAATAAGTGTTACAAAATATAATCATTTAAGATTAACAATGTTAAGGTTACAAGACTGAAAATATGCCTTTTAAAATCAAAAGATCAAATTAAACTTTTGTATGAAGTTAAACAAGCGTGATTTTTGCTTGTAAAACCTGTATCAAACTTATGCTGGAGCCATGTGCGCACTTGTGGGGTATGGGAACCTTTTGATTCTTGATAAGTATAATAAGGAGCATTATATTGTACTGCCAAAATTTGATCTTTGATTTGATGTATGGCTTGTTGTCGAAGCTTGTTTATTTCAAAAAAGTAAAAACAACAATGGTGGCTGCGCGGCGCTGGTGATTATGCAATGATGGTGGTTATGTGGTGTTAGAGGGATAAACTTGACAACTAGTCAAATATGGCTGTGATCGGAAACAAACTTATACAAGGGAACCCGGACTTGTCAAGACTTTGGAGATTTTAGATAGCAAATTTTGAAAAACTGAGTTGGTAGCCCAATAATATATCATAACTTTAACAGCTCCGCCCTGCTAAGCACAAGTATTTTCAGGTTAGAGAGAATTCTGTTTGAGACAATCATACCTTCTAAGACATCTAAAATACTCCATCATAATTGGATCTTGTAACAATAGATAGTTCGAAAAGTGATACATATTCATAAGAGTTAATGAGGATCCAATATTTTGAAATATTTTTATATGCTTCCAGTAACCCTCAACTATTTTAAAGATTTGTGAGAACTAAGCTCATCTTTGCCTTCTCATATTTCCTTTTAAGTTTCTATTTTTATTTTCTTGCATTTGTTTCAGGAGATACAAGAGAATTGTGGTAAAGGATGTTGGAACGTAAAGATGATTTACTTGAGGTATAATCACCCGTGGCACGCATGGATTAAAATTTAGAGTAAAATACATCATTGCTCCCTTTATTTAACCTAAATCATAAAGACATCCTTTTATTTTGGAAACCTATATAGATTCTTTTAAAAAATCAAATTATATGTTACACAAATCTCTTTTAAAATTCAATTTTCATCCTTCCAACCATTAGTTGACCATTAAATCATAGGGTTGACCTGTTATTTTGACCAAAATATCCCTTCTGAACATAAATATTACTTAATAATATATCATTTATTCACATATGAAATATCTTTATTTGAAATTAAAAAATAATTTTAATAAATAGTTTAATATTTTTGGTTATACTATTAAATCGATTGCCATATTATGAATTTAATTAATTTTATAAATGCAAATGTTTATTTCATAATAAATTTAAATATTTAATCTCGTTTATTAAAATTTACTTGTGTGATGTAATTTTTTTAAATATATATTAGTTGAAAATGTTTTGTAATTTTATATATGTGTTTTCAATAAAATTATAAAGTTATGTCTTAATTTACTAAATTTAATAAAAATATTAAATAAATTATTGATAAATATTAATATTAAGATCTAAACTACATATTTAATATAATGAGGGGTAAAGTAGTGAATAATGCTTATTTTGATATGTATTTTTATTACAACATTTTTAAATTTAAATAAGCTTTTAAAAAAAGTACTTTGATATATATCGAGATAAAACTACTCTTATATACTTCTTCCAGTCTCTATTATAAGTTTCAAAAAATTAATTTATAAATAACAAATAATTAGTTAAGATTAGTTAAAAAAATAAATAGATTAAAAATATAATTTTGTTTTCAAATATGCTTTTATGATAAACCAAAAAAAAAGTTGAAACAAAATGTATAGGGAAATTTAATAAGAGAGTATAACAAATAAAAAAATTAGAAAAAATATATTAAATAATGAGACAAAATCTCAAATTAAAACTTATATAATAAAAAAGACCACGTTACTGTTTTAATTTAAAAGTCATAAATAAAATCAGAGAGAAATGCTCACTTGTTACATTGGAGGAGTAGATATGAAGATCGAAAGAAAGAAGAGGGAGTGAAAAGTCAAAAAGTTGAAACGACAGGGTTGGTGGTGATGTGGTGAGCGTAACTCTAAAGAGAGTAAAGACAAAGAGGTCACTCAAATGGAAAAGACCGATGAGCAGAAGCAGCGCCTTATTCTGTAAATGTGTTTGCCTTTTATTGTTCAGACACATTTTCTCGCCGCACAAAGTCTCCCAATCGTATCTTCTATTTAGATTAGCCGGTCCATCCATATTCCACCCCCCAACCCCACCCCACGTGAATCCAACCCTCCCTTCCACTTTATACGGGAATACCCAATCTCAACCACCTCTCCTCATTCTTTTGTCCAAACTAGTTTAAAATCTCATCCTCTCTCTAGTAGCTAATCCACAGTAATAGTAGTACTCCCCCCAATTCTAATTAATTATAAGAATTACTTGGAGACTTAGAGTATTTGATTTGATCCTAAATATAAGTTTTTTTTTAAGTTTGTATTTTTTCCAAATTATTCTCATTAATTACATATATAAACCCTATTGATTGCGTATATAGATGAGAAGGTCGGTGGTAATAATTAAAGAGGATGTTTTAGATAAACTAATACACATCTATTACAAATAGTTAACTTTTTCATTAATATGCATAAATTAATTATCTAATTTCCATAATTACATCTATGATATTTTATTTCATATTTCATACTCTCTGGTTTTGTTTATGAGACACTTCCAACATATTTCATATAGATAAAAAAAATAAATTACATTAACTCTTCATTAAAATATAATAACTTTTCAACTTTACCTTTATTTATTATCTACACCTTTAAAAAAAAAACCATCTACATTATAATAGATGAAAGACAAAATATTACACTCATGCTAAATATTTAATGAAATGACTTATAAATAGGATCAAGAAAAACAATTTCTCTTCACCTTATAAATAGGACCATAGGGGTATATTGCAACGGTAAAACCTCGATTCCAAACGGCTAAATAAATGCATATAATAATGCATTTAAAGGAATATAAAAATAAAGAAAATAATGATCATAAAATAGGAGTCATTCCTTTGTCAATCGTTTTGTTTAACTCCATTAGGTTACCTTGGCCCAAAAAGAAAAAAAAGTCCCTTAGGCTACATAAATCCAAAAAAAAAAGAAGGGAAAATTCAAGTTACCATGCATTAATTCCCAAAATTTTCCAAAATCTCGATCAAATCATGCTTATGTCTCAATGTATATATTGGTTTCTAACATAAAATAGCAGCAGCAGCAAGATCTATCAATAACTAAATCTCTAAATATATTGTTTATCAAAAGTTGTTTACACCCAATAATTTTATTGATTATTCTCTCATGTCTTCCTAGTCCATACCATCTAACCTACTTTGTTCACAATCACCCTAACTAACAGTCTTCTTTGTATGGATTCAAACTAATTCGGATGAGTTTGTTCCATTTTTGTCTTTAATAGATGTCATGCCAACTCTTCCTCACATAAGTTCATTACCAATCTTTTTTTTTTTTAAAAAAAAAAAATGGCTACACATCCATATCCATATCTTCAGAGTTGGTCCAAAACCTAAATAAAAGAGAAGGATTGTGTTAGACTCTCAATATCTAACCTAAAATTCTACTGTATCATGTTTCCAAAAATATCATTGTCTCCTGTGCTCGCTTGAATAATTAGAAACATATTGAAAGTCGGCAAATGAACTAGTTGAAGTAGTGTTTTAAGAGTTAATGGTTCAAACCAATATCAAATATGTTCTAATTAAAATAATATTTAAATAAAAAAAGATATTAATCCGCACATTCATGTATAAACTGCCCATTATTCAACAAAATAGAATTGTTGATGCACAAATCTGATGTATTTATATTTTTTCTTAATTTTTAAATTCAAAATAATGTTATTTTAGGTTCAATAAAACACAGAAAATATATATATAATCCAACCCATCAAACCCTTCCATGACCGTTAATCAGATTGATCAAGAGTCTAATCTACTTCATTATACCCAAATTGGCTTTTAATATCATGATAATTAGCTTTAGTTTGATTACTAGTAGATTTGAAAAATCAAAAAAAAAAAGTATAACATTTATAACGAATTTTCTTCAATTTTAGCAAAATAATAACTGAGGTCTTATTAAAAAATACCGAGGAATAGAAAGTAAAGGGGCGCATGGGCCGCGGCTCAGGTAAGACCGAGTTGATTAGGCCAACGAACTGCCTTGCACAGCTTTAAAAAAGATGATGAACAATATGTGGATAATAACAGAAGAGGGTACATAACATAGCATCAAATCATGTTCATAGCCAATTCTGGCTTGTCATGTTGTTATCAATATCAATACAAGATCATACCTATCTACAATAAATCACAGACACTATTTATAAATAGTACGCCTCCTGATAAGTTGATTTTAGTTCTAAATATAAAATTTATTTCTTATATTTATCAATTTTTTTTTAAATTACAGGATATTCTCTCAATTATAATGAAGTAGAAGAGACAGGGAGAATATTAAGAATGATGATTATGGTGTTCTGAAAAAAAATATGTCATATTTTTTATAATTAACTAACTTACCTAGCTTTCTTAATTTGATCAAATTAGTTAAATAAGTCTTATATTAAGGACCTCAATAATATTCAGTACAATTTCCAATACTGAATCCAATTATAACAACTGGGGCAAGTAGTTATTTTCATTATAACATCACAGAGTAGCAGTCTGCAGAGTACAATTCATGAAGCAAGATAAGCCTTACAAAAACAAGGGCTTGGTTTAACAAAAACCCCAAAAGAGGGGGAAAAACAACCCAAAACAGGTTGTGAGAGAGAGACCAAAGCCCTTGCACGTGAGGCACCCACCACTTGCACTGCCCTAAACAGCCATACTCGTCAAAAAACAAAGCAAACTTAACTAACAACAACACACAAAAGCTTAAACACTCAACAGAAAATCATCCAGCAATACAGAATAAGACCCCAATATACATGCACTATCCTTAAGTGGAAACCACCATCAACCACGTCTCTGCCTAGGTGACTGTATTCTCAGGGAACCGTAGCCAGAAAAGATGGCCTTGGACGCCAAAAAGGTTCTGAAACAAGCAGTCCTGTAAATATAGGCTGCTTGCAAAAAAGGGGAAAGGCTAAAGTTCCATGGAAAACAACCAAGTCACCAAAACTTCCACCACCATGTCCACTGTGGACAGACATATCATCAGAGCCCAAAAAGTCTGCTGAACATGACTTCCTGCGAGTTAAGCATATCTGTTTTCGGTCTTGTTTATGCCAGAATATCACATCTCCACAAGTTTTCGATAAGCAACTCAATTGAACTGCTGCTGATTGAGTTGCAGTTTTGAAGATTCAATCCTACTAAGGTCTTGCCCAGTTTCGTAAGGAATGGTACGCTGTGGTTTGATACATCAGAACAGCCTGACACGGAAAGAACTTGCAAACTTAGCTGCCTGGCACCGGCTAGGATGGCTAGACCGGCATCGGTGATTGCACACTTGGAGACATCTAGATCATTCAATAGCAAGCAGTAGTGTGCAATGGCAGCCAAGCTTGCATCAGTTACCTTCCTGCATCCATCGATGTTGAGTACTTCAAGGGTTCTGCCATGTAACTGAGCCAAAGCTGAAATGATGTTGTCTGTCAAGTTCCCACATCCAGCAAGATTCACACTGATGAGTCCTGCCTTGCAGTTCTCCAGCAGAGGGAGAAAACCAACATCTGTTATGCCATAAAGCCCAGTAAGATCAACATGCTGAAGTTGGGGGCACAACTTCCCAACCATAGCCAAGCTACCACTACCAAAGCCAGGGCAGTTTCTTATTGACAGTGAACAAAGAGATTTGCACGGAGAAAGCATAGATGCTTCGCAACCAATATCCTTGATTCCCATGCACTTCACAAGAGTAAGAGATTTCAGCTTTGTTTTGAAGTTTGAAACAGCACCTATAATTCCAGTCTGGGTGATTCTGTTACACTCATCCAACTGCAAGCTCTCAAGAGATTCTGCAGCATTGGCAAATTCCACCAGTCCTCCATCGGATACAAAGCAACACTTGCGAAGGCACATCTGCTTCAGACTCCAGCACCCTCTGCCAATGGCTCCAATGCTTGTATCAGTTACCCCACGGCATGAAGTAACTGTCAATGAGACTAATTTCTGGAGACCTTGAGCTACACCCATGGCCCAAAAGCCCCTTTCACTAACATTTGGGAGACCACTGAGGACCATATTGGTAACTTCCTTTCCATAGTGGCCAATGACAGCCAGAGAAAAATCTGTTATGTTCAAGGACTGAAGCTTCACCTTTGACAAGTTTGAAGCTGATGATAACAGACTCGATACTCCATGATCCCCAACGAGTGGGCAGTCCTTGATAGTGATGCACTGCAACTTCGGGCAAGACTTTGAAATAGCTTGCAAGCCTTCATTCCCGATCTTTGTACACGATTCAATATTTAAGGTTGCCAAATTCGGGCAACCCTCAGCTATTGCGATCAAGCTCTTGTTGCTGATTGAGGAAGACTGGCACAGGTCAAGCTTCTCCAACATATGACATCCTTTGGCTATCTCAGTCAGACCTTCATCCCCAACTGAAGATACATTCCACAAAGAAAGCGATCTTAGAGAAGGACAACCGTGAGCAACAGCTGAAAGGCCGATATTAGAGACTCCCCTTACAGAGTTGTTGCCTCTGATAGATAGTTTTCCAAGTCCTCCATGGCCACTAGCCCCTACTGCAATCGCAGCAAGTCTTACATCAGTTGCCTTTTTCCCTTCCAAAGACCTGGTAAGGTAGCCATCACCTTCAATATCTTGATCCTCACCAATAGAGCTCATTTCAATGTCAAAAGAAGATGGCTTTTTGGATTTGCAGATTTCATCTTTGCATATACTGCTCATAAGATAAAGCCAATGCTTCGATACACAAGCACATAAGCTTCTTTCTTTGCTACTGGGGAGCCGTCTGAATATCTCAAAGAGGCATTCATTTGGAAGAAATTCAATAGTCGGCTTCTGAATTTGATTTTGCTCAAAGTGAAGATCTTCATAGATAAATGGAGCATTGATGCGAGCTCTCTTGCTAGGAGGACAGTACACATCAATGTTGGAACCAGCAGTGCACAAAGAACCCCCAAGATAGAGTTCATCATCACCTGATAAAAAATATTCATTAAACCAAATATTAGCCACACAATTGTTGCCGTTTATAAAGAAATTTTCCTGCAAAGAAATCTCTCTATTTGTCCTACAGATAAGGCATCCAAAAAGAAATTGAATTGTATAACTACTTCCCCACCCAAAGTATAAAGTAATAACATCCTTTAATCCATTGAAAAGATAAGTGTAGATCGCGTTTACAGATTCTTAAAGGAAGAAGAAACTGTAGGTTTTTCGTGTGTGTGTAACCAAATACAGATATGTCTTTCTGAAGCTAACATGTCAGGGCATAAGGCAAATCGGTGATCCTCGGAACGGTAAATCAAATACTCAAGCATACATCAAACCCCACAGACCCTCCATAAATAATGTAAATTTCTCCCCATCAATCCAGATCACAGACTTAAAAAGCTTAAACAAAAAAAAAAAAAAAAAGGAACTAATCAAGAATAAAATTTCTGACAACAAGCATCACAGACCAAGGCTGATCGATGAAATCCCATGAACCTAAACATGTCTAAATCGATTCAAAGCCATCGAGAATAAAAAAAAAATTCATATATCCCAGAAACTTACCACTGCAATTGACGAGGGTAGGCATGACCACAGAGAAAAAGCAACCGAGAATCCAATACCCAACAGCTGAAAACCCTCAGAAAGAGCAAAAAGAGCTGAAACAACGATCAAGAACAACACAAAGAAGCAGATGAAAGCTTGAAGGGCCAAGAACATTAGAGAGCAGGAACCCCACAAAGCAGGGCAAAAAGAAGAGAGAAGAACAGAGAAAGAAAGAAAGGGGATGAGAAGAGAGAAACAATGTTTGAGATATGAGGTAACTATGTGGCGTGGCAAAGTAGCATTATATTGAGCCTGACAAATGAAGAAATGAATAGGTCGGCCACAGATTCATTAGTCTGAGAATGGCTCCTACAGATGCAATGAATCCTTCCACTTCCAGAGACAGCGGGTTCCCCACCCTTTCCTCTCTATTCCTCAGTCCAACCACCTCGTCATTCTGTGGCTAATTCTATGAACCCAATTACTAAATTACCAAACTTATTATATTATTATGAACCAAACGTTATATCTTATTGAGCAAGGAATAATTTGGTCCTCCCTGACTCATGCTTATGACCAGCGCTAACCTTATCTTGAAAACATTGTGATTTTAATTTTATAATTTTGCTTTACGTTTGTCGCTGAAAATTTAAATCCAATGATTAATATTTATATTTTATTAGATGTTATAACAACTTTTTTCTTTGGGCGTTATAACTACTTATTGAATATTTCTCAGGCATCTTAATATATGTATATTAACTTGGTAGCCAAAATACATAAGTTTTATTTGACAAAAATATAAACATAATAATATCATAAAATCAATTCATCTGCCTATGAAATATATTGACAAAAATATAATAAAAAGAAAAAATAAAAAAAGTCAAATTATAAGAATCAAACCTATTTGTAATATCATATGACATTTTTTATTTTTTTAAATTAATAATTTATTTTAATTTCATAACATTTTATTTTTAAAAGTGAAATAAATAAATTATATGCCGTAAAAGTAGTAAGAGTATATATATTTTGTTTATAAATTGTTTAGAAGAAATGTTGATATCGTCCTAGACTTTCGAACCATCTTTCAATGACAAAATATTGCAGCAATAAATCTGTTTTTTCTCCATTAATTTTGTATAAATTTAAGCTCAAAGTGAAGTTATTTTAGGCTTAACAAAGAGAGAAAAGAATACAAAATTCACTTCAAGTTGATCCATCCAAATTTCTTGATCCCACCGATCAGGAAGCCAATTCACTTGCAGATTTAGGTTAGCCTTCATTATAAACAAGATGTTTTAATTATTTTTATTCTGTAATAATATTTATTTTATTTATTTTGCACTTTGTGAATTATTAACCGATCTTAGAATTTTTTGATTTCATAGGAAAATAAATGAATCATCCATGCATGTCATGGGTAGGGATTCATGAACGGTACAATAGTGAATGAATATATATGGAAGCAACAATAAAAGAAGTCACATGCATCTGCGAACATAAAATAATAATCTTGACCCATTTTATTTTTATATAATCGGATGATATATATATATAATATTTTTATATATTTTAGTTAAATTATATTATTGGAATTATGATGGCTTAATTAATGATTCAATAACTTTAGTACCATTTTTTTTTTGCCAATAACTTTAGTACTATTAATAACAATGTTGGGATTATATTATAGTTGTAAATGTAAACGGCCGCAATGGAATAATTAAAAAAATAAAACAAAATAAAATAAAAGACCGACCAAGAGAGAGACAGATGCAAGTGCGTCCATTTGAATGTGGTTAAATGAATGTAGTCGCTTGCCCCACAAATAATTAAAAGGTTAAGTTAAGCACAGTATCGGTGGTTCCGAGATTTAAATATCTCTGAGGAATATTTAAATTAAATTTTAAAACTTCAATTAATTTTTATTGTAATATTATATAGAATAGAGAATAATCTAAAAACGTAAAAATTTTCTTAAAAAATCAATTGTGTTTCCCATATCGTTTTGGTTTAGGTGGAAATATATAGTTCTCAAAATTAAAATTTTAAATTATCTTAATCCTGAAATTAATCAAGATTAATATTATTTAAAATACAAATAATATAAAATGTCATAATATTTTTTGGCGAAAAAAAAAAGGAAATTTCCTAACTGTCTAAAGGCGAAGCCAGAACATGCTAAAGTGGATTAGGCTAATGGCGCGTGAAGAATTCACAAGATAGATAAGAAGGGATTAGGAACTTGGCTAATACTCTTCAATCTTATCAAAAAAGAGTTTTTATCATTTAGTTCTACTTTGACACGTGTAAAACATGCAGCATTTACAAATTTAATTAGATAACATTAAATTGTCCTTGTATTTTTGCAAGTCATTTATAAATCATGAAAACTTATACTGTATGTTATGTTATTTTATTTTGACAAAAGTATATTTTTAGATTTTTTTTAATTTTACAAAAGGTTTTATTTTTTTAATCTTATAAAATGTGCTTTTTAGTCCCCTAATCCTAAAGTTGTTAGTTTTATTTTCTTAAAAAAATTGACATTAAAATTTTAAGTTTTTTTTTATGAACTTAAAATTTTAAGTTTTAACCATACATTTAATGCCGGTATGTTAAAATTATTTTATCAAGTGACAATAATCAACACAAAAAATCAACATCTGACACTAATTAATAGTATTAGAGTTAGAAAAGAAAATATAATTTGTGAAATTAAGGGATAAAATTAAGATGTTGTATGAGGCTATTTTCTTACTTTTATTTTTAATTGTCTATGGAACTCTTGTTACCAGCCTTACATATCAAACTTTTAATTCTAAAGCCAAGGGCCATGCATGAGTTAACAAAGCTGCCAAGCTATTTCAATTCATCAAATGAATGTTAGTACCCTTTTGATTTGTACAATTTTGTATTTTTTTTTATTTAACAGGATAGATATTATAAATGTATAACATTTAATATTTTTTATAAACATTATGATACACGAATTTCAATTTTAATAAAATTAATTTTATATTAGAAAATGAGATTAATTAACGTCAGCTATTAGTACTGTATGATTCCTGTCATGAAATTTGCAAATTTAATATTTTTAATTCATGTATACTAAAAGTGAATAATATAAAGGAATGTGATTTTAAAAGAAAATCACATTTCATAATTGGGTAAAGCTACATCAGCACTCCAATCCTTTTTCTTAGGTACATCCAACATGCACCAAAAAAATAATTTTAAATTTATCCTTCATAACTATAGCTGCTTTTTTTTTTAATTTTTATTCAATTATACTACATATATTTATTTTCATGATTAAGGACCATCCGTGATTCCAAATGTGGATAAGTTTGTTCCATGCATGGCTGAAAGTGAAATATGGAACCAATAGACAGTTTCTTTCACAGAAAGGAAAAAACAAAACATGTCAGAATCGCTAGTGCATCCGATCAGGGAGACTTTAATGTTGTACTCTGTTTCTGGCCAAAAAATGTGCTTTGTTCGTATTATTTTCAGTTATTAATATAAGATCTCAGTTGATTTTTATTTTAGTTATAAATATAAAATTTTAATTCATTTTATCTCTCACATTTATATATTTTTTTAAGTAGTCTTTTTGATAATGATAGTTTTAATTAATATACTTGATTAATAAGGATATTTTAGTAAAAACAATACTCATTTATTATAAATAACTTTGACTTTTTTTTTGGGTAATAAAATAACTTTGATTTTTGTAGTATTCTACTTTGATTTTTTATTTTCAAATTTTATTTTTAGGTTTTCTTTTTCTCATCCGTTCCAAAATCACTTTCAAATTATTTAAAAACTAAAAAAATCAGGAAATATTTTCATCCACGTAGCTACTACTGATTACTAAATAACATTTATCATTTATAAATTCTCAATCAAGTTAACAAGATAAAAACATAAACCTGGCCAATTAATTAATATCAATTCTTTGAAGATTATAAATTATTAAAGGAAAAAGGAATTGTCAAAGATAAGATTATTCAATTGAGAGTTGCAAAATCTTACAAAAATATTGGATCAAAACACTATGTTCTTTTATATAATATAAAAAATCAAATTTGAATATTAGAAAAATTGAAATTGAGTATGAAAGATTGAAATATAAATAATAAAAAAATAACGTTAAAATGTTAAATACTAAAACACTAAAGATAAATACTAAAGAAAGAATAGAGTATGAAATTTTTGTGGAAAACAAAAATTATTCCAACCAACTATCTTAGTTTTTATTTCAATTTTGCTGGGGTTAGTTGCTAGTTGACCTGAAAAGTAAACGAACACAGCCAAGAAATTAAAAGTCTATAATGGATTCTTCAAATTGAGGCCAAAGAGGGACCCTTTTAACTAAGAATGCATGCATTTGTGTGTGTGTGTGAATATAGACTTGCAATTTTGATGGTACGTGTAACCTGGACAAGTTGGTACTTATATTTTCACACCCACCCAACCCCCCCCCCCCTTTTGTATCATTGAACAAGTTGATGCATTTTAGAATCAATGGATATATAATACTCCTCCGGTCCTAATTATAAGACCCAATTGACTTATTTGAGGAGATTAAGGAAGTAAGTTAAGTTGGTTATTTATAATAAATAAGTGTTGTTATTCCTAAAATATCCTTGCTAATTAAGTATATTGGCTAAAACTATCATTATTAGAAGGATTATCTTGGAAAAAATACATAAATATAAAAGAGAAAATGGATTGGGTCTTATAATTAGGACCAAATAAAAAGTCAAATTGGGTCTTATAATAAGGACCGGAGGAGTAGTTTCCAAAAAAATATATTTATAGTTGTTATATATTTTATATTAATACCATTGACCTGTAAGATTGACGATGTTAATTCCCAATGGTGTAGCTCTCACCCAACATATCTCTAGATTAGTTTTATCACATGGGTCTAAATTAAGATGCTGTATAAGGCTATTTTTTTACTTTTATTTTTAATTGTCTATGGAACTCTTGTTACTAGCCTTACATATCAAACTTTTAATTCTAAAGCCAAGGGCCATGCATGAATTACCAAAGCTGCCTAGCTATTTCAATTCATCAAATGAATCTTAGTACCCTTTTAATTTATATGAGTCTTGTATATTTTTTTCATTTAACAGGATAAGTATTATAAATGTATAACATTTAATATTTTTTATAAACATTATGATACACGAATTTCAATTTTAATAAAATCTGAAAACTAAAATCTTGAAATCTTTATCATTTTTATAATGTAAAATTGAAATTCACGGTACCCTTTGGACTCCTGACATAAAATTCCGATTATTTCAATAAATTTTCAACATAAAGAATCACATAAATTAATACAATTTTTAACTAATACTTTTCTTTCAAAAATGATTATTTAATTAAAAATAAGGATAATAATATCTGGTTTTTAAAAAT